GTCAGTTTTTTAAAACTTAGATGAAAAAGATAGATTCTTTAGGTATCTATATTTTAAGTACTTATTTTAATAAAAAATAATTTTAAATATTTAATTTGATCAAAATATACCTTAAATACTTAGAAAAAGTATATATTTTACGTAATTATTTATATTATAATCAATAATAATAATATAATGAGTCGTTTTTAAAAAATAAAATTAAAATGAAGTTGGTGGTTGAGAAAAGCCTCCTTTAAGAAAATATAAATTATTTAAAAGACGTTGAAAAGGAGAACAAATGAACTGAATCAACCTCAAAATAAAAGTTTATTATTATTATTATTATATGCATGTGTTCGAAGTTTTTCTACAACTTAATTTAGTTTTCATATTTTTTTTCTCCTCCAAGCGTTTATATAAATACGAGAACAAGCCTTGCTTGTTCTTGTATCAATCTCTCTATCATTCTATCTTCTTCTCTTTTTCCCAGTTTTCGTTGACTACCAATTGCTTTTGATTAATCAAAGTTCTTAATTTTCTTCTTCTTTTTCACCATGGAAGGGACAAAGGGTATGTTTTTCTTTCCGGGTTTTTTGTTTTTGTTTTTTTTTTATATATTTCATTGAGATCTTTCTTTCTCTTTTTGTTGTTTTGTGATCTTCCATGAGGATTTTCAGTGTTACTTTAGCAGAATCTGGGTTAACTGAATTTCCCACTTTGCCTTAGCATTTCTAGTTTTAGTATTGGACAGATCAATTGAATTTGTTAATGCCTGGAATAAGAAAAAAAAGGAACTCACTTTTCCCACAATTTGGTGAGGAAAAAAAAATCCAGTTTTTAGGGTTCATGCATACATTTGAGACTAATATTTGTCTGAATTTTCAATCTTATTTGTAAATATTTGGTTACGATATTAATGGTTATTTTGCACCCTTTTGTTTTTCTAATAGTGTTGGAAGCTAAAGAAGGAACAATTGCCGTTGCTTCTGCTTTTCCTGGTCATCAAGAAGGTAAATTTCAACTTTTTCGGAGGATTTAATGTTAAAAAGCTAATATTAATTGGCCTCCTAATAGTAGCTACTAGCTAGCAATAGAAATATTCCGTTGAATTTTACCATTTGTTTGGTAATGGAGATTTACTTCCATGAATATTCTGGTTGGATTTTTACTTTGTAGCTGTGTCACAGTTTGTAGATCAGACTGATGGTTATGGTCTGGAATATTCCTTGGGTATGTTGTGTTGATCTGGACTCGTGGGTGGGTCAGGACTCGGGTTTAGGAAAAAACGAAGAGTCGGATAATGTAGGCGTTATCTAGTGTTAGATTTTTAGTTTTGTCACAGCTTATTGATCATAGTGATGTCTATCAGGATTGATGATCTGGTGTGTCGCTTAGATATGTCGTGTTAATCTATCCTACCCGGACTCGAGGATGAGTGCATGTCCATGTGGGTGTTAGACATGGACATGGTTTAGGAAAAACAAAGATTCCAATGAACCTAAGTGTTATCTGATTGTAGTTTCTAATTAGTGCCACGGTTTTGGGATCATAGTGATGGTTTTCATCATTGATGATCTAGTAAATTGCTTGGATTTGCTGTGTCAATATGTTCCCAGACTTCAAGCTGAGTGCAAATCTGTATGTCTTAGATATGGGTTTAGGAAAAACGAAGAGTCCGGACAACCTAGGTGATAATGATTCGTACATACTTGATTGCCGATGTAGACTTCTTGGGAAGACCTCCATGCTTGATGTTTGTTAGATGGATATAAAAATGCTATTTTTTTCTGTTTATTGTTCAACCAGCTGTACAAAATAGAGACCACAAATTCTTAACACAAGCAATTGAAGAAGCATATAAAGGGGTTGAATGTAAAGATGGAGGGCCATTTGGTGCGGTCGTAGTTCACAACGATGAAGTTGTTGTGAGTTGTCACAACATGGTTTTGAAAAACACTGACCCTACTGCCCATGCAGAGGTTACCGCTATTCGAGAGGTCAGATCAGAAGAACATAACAAACAAACAAAAAAAATAATCAAATTGCTTCATCTTATTCGTATGTTTACTTTAAATGTTTGTACGTTTCAATCCCCGAGATCATGAAACGCTTTTAAAAAGATTAGATTTCGTTTGTTGATTGTAAGAAAATGTGAGAGCACCATTGGAAGAAATACATTTTAACATGCAGGGTTGTTTAGCATCATTCTGTGATTTCTACTGGGATTTGTTTGCCCATCTTTTTATACTCATCTCATAATGTGTTCCGATTTGGTGAAAGTTTATCATCATTAGGTTTTTGTATTTATAAGAGTCATGTAATAGTTAATAATTTTTGCATATATGTTCCTCAAGATTAGATGGTAATAAATGAAAATTACTAAATGCGTGCGAATACACAACTGATTGATCTCGATTGTAATCAATGGTGAAACCTATGTCAGGCATGCAAGAAGCTGAATCAGATTGAGCTCTCAGACTGTGAAATATACGCTTCCTGTGAGCCTTGCCCAATGTGCTTCGGTGCCATTCATCTATCGAGAATCAAGGTGCGACGCCAAAACTATTTCTTAACGTAAATGATCTTTTGTCAGGCTAAAGAGGCTGCTGTTTTAAGGGTAAAAAGGAACGGGGTCGTTGCAGAGTTGGAACTCTCTTTAATCTTTTATTTTTGCTTTTTGGAACAGAGGCTGGTTTATGGAGCCAAAGCAGAGGCAGCCATAGCAATAGGGTTTGATGATTTCATAGCTGATGCATTGAGAGGGACTGGGTTTTACCAGAAGGCTAACTTGGAGATCAAGCAAGCTGATGGCACAGGTGCTGTGATTGCTGAACAAGTATTTGAGAAGACTAAGGAAAAGTTTACCTTGTACTGATTTCTTACAGTTCCTTTTCAAATCTTTCACAGCTAAAAACATCTTCAAGTTTATGCTAAAACTGACCTTTTTCTTTTAAAGTTTTGAATAAGAAGTATGCATTGTTTGATTTCAAAGTTATTATTTGTACTTTTTGTAAATGAGACGATACAAGTTACACATTATTTAAGTTTGATTTGGTTAAAGTTTGGTTAACATTTGATTTGAATGGACTCGAGTTCGATCTTAAACTTGAACTAGACTCGAGTTGTCGAATTCTTAACGTGCCAAAGTTAATTGGTACCCAACTCAAAAAGCTCGAGTAACTGGACAAAATAATATATATTTTTTCAAAATTTTTAAATCAAATTATTTTAACATTGGCATTTATATAGATGTGTATAAGATTTTTATGTATTTAAGGGTCAGGCTCGAGCTTCAATCTAGTTAAGTTTGAGAATGTTTTGAGTTCAAGTTTTTTCGAGCTCGAGTCGAACTTCAAAATTTATGTCAAACTTAATAATTTTGAACTCACAAATCTTTAAATCAAGTCAAGCTCAATAATCCTCAAATTCTACTCTATTAGTTTACAACCCTAGGTGGAGCCACCCAGTGAGATTGAAGTTGAACCTGTTAGGCCAATGGCCGAACCACCACCCATATGGTGGTGGTCTAGTCCCAAAAGGAAATGGCCGCCCACTTGAGGGCCCAAAAGACATAAATGAAACCACATTTGGAGGCACATTAGGTACGGGGATCAAATAGGGTAATACCTGTTTTAGTTTGTACTACTCAAATATGGTAAAGCATATTGGTAACGGCTGTTTATCCCATGTGTTCAAATCACATAAGCATGTGGTAAACATACTATTTAGACTTAAATTTCTTTATAAACTTAACACTTATTATTTAGAAAATATTAATTGTTATTTAATAGACTTTATAGTTTTATAGCTTTTATTATTTAGCAAATGAAATATTTTGTTTGGATTTAAATTTTAAATAAAAAACAATGTTAGTTTTTAATAATAAATGTGAAATCTATAAAGAATTTGATATTTTTATTGTATAAATATTAACTAAACCATTTAATATTAGAAAGATCTAATAAATACTTTCACTCTTCAAATTTAAACATATAAATACATATAAATTAAATTATCTATTATTATAATAAAAAATATTATAATTTTATGTATATTAGTTATTAATTGATTTAATGAAATAAAAAATTTAAATTATAAAAATATGAATAAAATAAAAATAAATTAATAAAATTAATTTATGATAAATTATAATAATATTTCAATGTCAATCAATCAATAAATATTAAGATAAAGTATACAAATAGTCACGACTATAAGTTGTTGTTTTGTTGAAATAGATTAAATTAATAAAATTAATTTTATGATAAATTACTATAATACTTCAATGTCGATTAATCAATTAATGAATATAATATTAAATATTAAGATAAAGTATACAAATATTTCCCGATTATAAGGTGTTGTTGTATTGAGTCTGTTGACTATTAAAGTTATAATATAGTTTTGACAGTAAAATAAATTAGTTTTTTGTGTTGACCAATTATTAAAAGTTACAAAATGATCGCCCAATTATTTATATGTTTAAAATCGTCATTTTTTTTGTTAAAAAATTGATGTCCGTTTGAGTTGGACGTTAAGATGTTGATTAAGATATAATAAAATTGTACTTTAATGATGCCTACTAGTAATATAGTTACTTTTAAGAATTGGCTTCACAATATAATGTTTCAAGTACAAGTTCGATAATATAATATAAATATAGATATGATCTATAAAATACAACTAAAAAAATTTTAAAATCAAATTCTATTGTATCCTAGTTAACAAATTATCGTTCATCTCAGATTATTATCATTTTTTTATTAAAAATAATAAATTTAAAACATATAAATATCGAAAAATTATTTTATAATTTATAATAAAAAAAATCTAACAAAGCAACATCGTATAACTAAAATACTATTTATGTAATTTATCCTAAATATTACATATAAGGAGACAATAAAATTGGAATGGACACTTGGACCTAACACAAACCAGGTTTATCCAGATCAAACAAAAGGAATTAGCGCACTACAAGAATCTACTACATTCTACTGGTAGACAGACACTTCCCTCATCTTGTCCGAACTCATTTCTTTTTCAAACGACAAGAGCATGTGCCCCTCCCATGGATCCCTTTCATTTCTCCTACACCCACTCCCATAAAAATCATTAAACAAACTTAACAACAACAACAACAGAAAAAATCCAAATCAGAAACGAACTCCATTGAAATGGCATCTGCAACCACAAGGCTCAGTTTTTCTTTTCACCACTTAACACAACCTAACCCAAAGCCAAAAAATCCTCACCTCTTTCACCTCTCCCACAAACTCCCCAAAACAAACATCAAACCCCAAAGAAACCAACACCCCCACCATTTCATCATTCATTCCATTGATGTCTCAAAAGAAGACAGCCAAGAAACGCCAGCTTCAAACTCAGAAAACCAATCGCAAGAACCGAGTGGTGAAGAAGAAAAGTTCGATAAACGGAGGTTAGAGGAGAAGTTTGCAGTGCTGAACACGGGGATATACGAGTGCAGATCATGTGGGTTCAAGTATGATGAAGCGGTGGGTGATCCTTCGTATCCCATACCGCCGGGGTATCAGTTTGATAAGTTACCGGATGATTGGAGGTGCCCTACTTGTGGGGCTGCCAAATCTTTCTTCCAGAGTAAGAGTGTTGAGATTGCTGGTTTTGCTCAGAATCAGCAGTATGGTTTGGGGGGCAATACTCTTACCTCTGGCCAGAAAGCTCTCTTGATTTATGGAACTTTGTTCTTCTTCTTCGTGCTCTTCTTGAGTGGCTACTTTTTGCAATAGGTATCGAATAATGTGTAATTCTTCTTTGTTTGTGTGGAAACTTTTGCAAATAGGAAAATTTATCCATTAACTCCCCCAAAAATAAAATAAAAAACATGTTTCTTTAAATTTTTTGTTCAATTTTGCTAAATTTTTGAAACTGTAGGGTCATTGATATAGTAATTTTAAAAATGATTTTTACTGGTTGTGAGAATTAAATTAAAATAAAATATAATTATACAAAATTAAAATTTATATATTATATTCAAATCAAATTGTAAGTTTTATATTTCATATTACATTTTATCTATGAGAATTGCATATCAAAGTTTATATAACTAATTTAATTAGTTAATTACTAAAATTTAATGATATTATTTGATGAAACAAAAGACGAATTAAATGGCTTAAATAAAAATTACCCAGATTTTTAAGTACTAATCATTGGCTCTGGCATGAGACTTTGGGTTAATATGCACAAGACTTCAAAGAAAAGATTATATTATAGCATGCTACTAAGGAGACAGCAAATCAGAAGAACTATTAACAGGGCAAAATAAAGTTCCAAATATAGGCTGTCATTTACATATGTATAATGACATAAAATTCAGCTTTTTCATACAAGAAATGACCTTGAAGTCAAGAACATGTTAACAACTACATTTTCTCTACTGGCGGCTTTGCCGGTTACAACTCCTACTGAGAATAATAACAGCCTGTATCGCTCGAGATCGACATTCTATGGTTGTACAACTTCTACCCAACTATATAGAAGAAAAAGCTTACGCAGCTTACAACAGACGTCCTCCTGGTATCAACACAAGTCCTAGTTTTGGATGTCACACAAACAATTATGGTGTTCTGAGAAACCTATAGTTTAAGCTTCAAATACATGATCCTTTGAACTCTGATGCAACTACAGGCTCCGACTCTTCTTAAGGTTCGATTCTAAGATTAATCACCTAAACCACCTGTCAATATCCATTTGATTTTGAAAATGAGCATTACAGCAACATTGCTTCGGCCATATGACCGAATGTTGCTCACATGAAAAGTTCATTGATAAAATCATACATGCCTGTGTCAAAGAAACAGGCAACAAGTCCAGCCGATATAGTGATCACTGCTGGTTAACTGGAGCAGTCACTCCCCGTGGACGAGACTTAATCTGATAAACCTTCTTTTTCTGCTTCTCATAAGCTCCGCTCGATGTATTTTCCTGTTTCCTGGTATTGTTTACACTCACTGGTTTACTGATCCGCGTGTTGGGTGGTGTGGGAGGAGTACCAGTGTTCTCAGACCAGAGATCTAAATTCTGCGAGTATCCAGAATTTGGCATCTTCGAAGACACCTTATGTGCACTCCTCTGCTACTTCCCTCGAATGTCAAAGCAGACATTCCGGCCCTCAAATCATAATATTGTTCCTCATTCTGTAATCTATCTTGTGACCTGAAGTTGTTTCTGATTTGCATACCGTTTGGCGATGGATGTCTTGGGTTTCCCAATATCCCTTGTGGATGATTGTATTGGCCATAATAATTTGTACCATTTCCATATCCCCTTCCATAACTTGATGGTCCGGCTGGGCGTGGCTGGCTGCAATAATAGTAATTTGGGTCATCAAGAAAGCCCCTTTCATAATCTGGTGGTCCTGCAGGCCTTGGTCTAATGCTGCAGTAGTTGCTTGAGATATTAAAAGATGGTGGTTGCTCTGTTGACGAAGAGGTTGACCTGTTCAATTTTACATTAAGAGTACTCTTAACAAGACGATGAGCTGCCTCTCCTAGCTGAGGCCCAATTGCTGCACCAGGTACTAGTGCCCTGTCAAACAAATTCAACAATGAATATCATGGTAACCACTGGCAGTTTTGAAAGCATTTGAATAAATTCTGAGGACATTCTGAACAGAAAACATATACATAAGATCTCTAAGATCTTGTATATTCCATGAAACTAAGATAATGCATTCTCACCTCTCTCTGGCTAGCTGGCGCCGACCACCATTGTCTTCATGCCAAAGGAAAGAAAAGGTTTAATGTCCAATGGTGCAGAACCTGCAAGCGTGACATGTATGTGTTTAAAATTAAACTTGGGTGACGGATCCACAATGCTTCTGTAATGTTTCTCAGGATAAAAGAAAGGATTAAGGAAGAAAGGTAAATGGTAATCTTATGCATCCTTGAGTTCCCTTATCAACCTAATAAATTTAAAGCAATGCCTATGTCAACAATTATATACCTTTTTAGGTAGCACAACACCCTGTGGAGGCCTTGGAATGTGTTTATGATCTGAAGGATTAAGATACGTAATATTCCTGTGAAAATCATGAAATGAATAATTAGGATCACTAGGATTCTAGGAGCTTTCGAGAAAAAAAAAAGGTATAGAACCATGGAAGACTTACAAAACTTGGCTAACTTCTATATCTGGCAACCCCATGACAGGGGACGAAACTACACGGTGCCAACCATTCATTTCGGATAACCAAAGAAATCCATTCATTCCATCACTGTGAAGGACAATAGATGAGGATGTAAAACCAACAGATATTCCCTAAATAGATTCAAATGTATGCACTCAATTAATGATGAACAATGAAGTTAACCCACCTAGCATTTGTGTTGATTGGCAATAAAAATCTTTCATGAGGGCCATTCTGGAAAACCAGAGTTTTTAAATTTCCAGATTGACCACACTATGACTCCTAGGATAAGAGTCCATATGCACGAATGAGGGACAAGATCGTTCCAGGCTGACAGGAGAGTGGGAATGTCCAGAGGAAGTGTGGTGAGAAAATGGAGGTCGGATTCGGATTTAAGTTGTCGAGGCAAAGTGACCCATGAAATTTGGACAGAACAACCACCATCTACGACGGTCGACGGTGGCTGACGGTAGCATCCGACCACCTTATTTTTATTTTATATTAAATAATAATAAGAAAATGTCATGTCATACATAAATAACAATAAAATAATTTAAGTGTTCAAAACATCGAAAGTTTAGTGAGTAAATTTAAAAAATTGAAAATACATTGAGTAAAATATGAGAAAGAGTATAACTCAACGAAAAATGACGTAATTTACCCAAATTAAATTATAAAATAAAATAAAGTCTTACACTTTTACTCTTCGTGATTATAATAATAAAAAATATATATTTTATCTTGTGTAAACATATAAATGCCAAAAAAAATATCATTATATTTAATATTTTAATTTTAATTATTGATTTTTTTTAATTTTTTTGGTTGTTCTCCCAGTTTCAAAGTTTTACCTTAACTAATCGGACCGACTTGCATCACACATTTGACTTTGGTGGATGAGTCTCCCAGCAGAGATTTTCTGCATACACAATGACTCAAACTCGAAACTTTGCTTTGATATCAAGTTGCTTTGATATCAAGTTGCTTATCACTTGAACTGACCATGTTAGTATTGACTTTTTAATCTGTATATTATAAATTATAAAATGTTATAATTACTTGATTTGATTTTTCTATTTATTATTTAGTGTTATTGCTTTTTATTTTTTATATAATTGAAATTTAAAATAAATTTTAAAATGTAAGTTATAACTTAATATAAGCAAAAAAAAAAAAAAAGCAAACTTTTAAAATTAAAACAAACAACATTTAAAGAAATTTATTAAGGTAAATACGCTTCAAAAAATTAGAGTAGGGATAGGAGAAGGGACACAATTAGAGAAAATAGTCTCAGTGACTAAAAATCTCAGATAATATACGATTTTGACCAATTTTTTTTTGATTTGTGAAAATGACCAACAAAATCGCAATGCGATCTCTAATTCGCATTGCGATCTCCACTATCGCAAATTCGCGTTGCGATAGTTGAAAATCGCATTGCGATAGTCTAAGTTGTCGTTGCGATAGTTTCCAAATTCGTTGCGACAGTCTACAGTTGTCGTTGCGATTTTCCAAATTCGTTGCGATAGTAAAAAAAAGATTTTGTTTCTTAATAATTTTCTCTAAAAAGATAGTATCCGCGCGTACGTGTCGAAGACATGTATTACCACGACCACGACTCGAGACGAGGCGGCAGCGACGCGCGAGAGTCCCCCTTGTTTTCTTCCACTCAACAAGGAAGTGGGAAATTCAAGCCTTAAATACCATTCCCAATAGTGTTTCCAATACTATGTGAGATTGAGCATTACCAACACCATAAAATCTTAGTTCCCGACCACATATCAAAACCGTTTGATTATTTCAGATTCATTCGATTAAAGAAGAAGAAAGATATATACCAGACCACAGATTTGAGATCGCTTTCCATTATCACTTGAAAGGCATGAGTCATATCTAATTCACTGCTACTTCCCTAACTTGACTTTCAAAAACAGTGGAGAATGAACATAGACAACTATTGCTAACTCAATCAATAAAAGACGACACCGCAAATCAAGCCCTTGAACCAATCATTTTAGCGATTAATTTCCAATAAGTTACTCTTGATACTCATGGATAACCATCATAAGACGCATTAAAACCACCGATCAAGTAAGATTATCTAATACTTTCACATGTTCCGCTACCATAATATTAACTGAATAGAAATGTTTCGAGGAGAAAACAACTGCCTGTACTTATTTACTATATTCTATTAGCATTTTCCTATGCAGAGATTTAGAAAAATACACATATATCAAAGAAATGCATGCTCATTACATAGTCAAGGAAGCACTAAAACAGATGCTTATGTATGCAGTTTAACAGTTCATTCATATTTCAGTCTCTTTGATTAGTAAGTGGTGGTCGGGAACTAAGATTTTATGGTGTTGGTAATGCTCAATCCCACATAGTATTGGAAACACTATTGGGAATGGTATTTAAGGCTTGAATTTCCCACTTCCTTGTTGAGTGGAAGAGAACAAGGGGGACTCTCGCGCACGCCGCCGCCGCCGTCTCGTCTCGTCTCGGGTCGTGGTCGTGGTAATACGTGTCTTCGACACGTTCTTTTTAGAGAAAATTATTAAGAAACAATTTTTTTTTTAACTATCACAACAAATTTTCGCAACGAATTTGGAAAATCGCAACGACAACTGTAGACAATCGCAACGAATTTGTAAACTATCGCAACAACAACTGTAGACTATCGCAACGAATTTGGAAAATCGCAACGACAACTGTAGACTATCGCAACGCGAAATGCAACGCGAATTTGCGATAGTGGAGATCGCAATACGAATTAGAGATCGCATTGCGATTTTGTTGGTCATTTTCACAAATCCCAAAAAAGTTGATCAAAATCGTATATTATCTAGGATTTTTGGTCACTGAGATTATTTTCTCACACAATTAACTTCAAACCTTATATGGTACAAAATATCTTCAAAATTGTATTAAAACCCAACGTACACTGAATAACAAAATTGAAATCAAACTATTATTTACTTTATTATCCAAAAATGTCACTGAAGTGACCTATTTTTCATCTTGATTAATGGGGTTTTATCTGTGTTTAATTTAAGAAAACAATTGCTAAAACATTGGTAATCTTGTCGGGTTTGAAATGAACAGTTGATTGGTATTGTAGATGGATTCATGGCTCGAATTGCGGTCAAGTTAGAGTAAACGAATCCCTGCTCCAGTGCCGAGGATATTGTTATTACAAAATATATGAACATAGCAGAACAAGCAAAATTCTCTCCACTAAGCAACTCACCACACGTTTCTCAACAGCAAACCATTTTTAATAAACAAGGTTCTTCGCATGAAACATCAGGAATTTGTTTAGTTTTTTGCTAAACAGATCGGTTTATAAATTGATTACTTTGGTTTTTCAAAGTCAAGAACACGACGGAACAAGCAAAATGTTTAAACTAACATCAGACGAGGGCCGTTCGAACGCAGCCCCCACTGCCACAAATTATGACGTGGGCTCTCCCTCTTGGGGAGACCTTAGGTAAGCAACTCTCCCAAGTGCAATGGAAATCACTAACCAAAGCCATGGGCCTTAATGATCACCCATCGACCCCATCTTCTCTTTTTATCTCACTAATCAGAAATGGTTGTAAATCAAACATTTACCATCTAATGCAACAAATGTTACAACAGCATCAGCAAAGGATATAAAAACCATTAAAATGCAAAAATCCAGAGTTTTCTATGCAATGTGATGAAATACAAATGCAACGACAATCACATGCAAAAGCAATGCAACGATGTAACTTACTATGAAAAATGTATACGATGGGCACAAAACATTCCTTAAAATTGTGTAAAACACATTTTTTTTACTACTATCAGTGGCGCATAAGATATCATTTTTGTTTATTTTTCCGATATAAATAAATATACATGGGGTAACAATGGCAACTTTCTTATTGTTTAAGGGGGTAAAGAAAATAGCACCAGTATATCTAATGCACTTCCATCTGCACTTGACATTACACCAAAGCCCAGAGCCACAAGAGTTAATATTGTATAAGCTTTTACACATACGAAATTACAAGCTTATTTCAATTAATTGATGGTGTTCGTTCCCTTCTTTCCTGATTCATCAGGCTGTCCAAAAGGAGAAGGCGAAGGCAAAGGAGAAGAAAAAGAACCTGCATCACTTTGTAAATTCGTAAATTTTGTTCGTACATATTACCCAGAATCGATAATCTCTATATATAAACAAATATACCTCGACGAAGAGTGGCAGCACTTTTAGAGTCGAAGGGTCCAAAGAAGCTACCAGCGGAGATCTTATGCACTTCCATTCACACTTGATGTGACACCAACCTGAACCACACGAATCGTTGCAGTCCTTCATACAATCGGCTGCACTCACAACTGCCTCATGCCCCCAAAATGATTATCACCATTACTATCATAATCATCTTCCTCCCTGCATTCGTCATTCTTCTCTTCTTCTTTTTGATTCGCCTTCAACGTTGGAAAGCTATTGGTTTTGTTGTATTGTCCCCACTATGAAAAAAATAATAATAATGGTTATTTTAAAGGAGAATTCATGGGGATGATCTTTTTCACATATGTAAACAATAATAGTATATTGAACTTTTATGTATGCTAATAAGTTACAAACTTATTTGCAATTAATCCATGATAAGCTTTCTCATCTTTCCTAATCCATCAGGCTGTGGAGAAGGTGAAGGCGAAGAACCTGCGTCCAAATGTTGCATTTTCATATATATTTCAAAATATAAATAAATAAAACGTGTGATAACTTTAAAAACATTCGTTCATACCACTAAAAAGTTTGAAATTACCCAGAAATGATAATATACAAATAAGGTATAATATCAAAATCCATCCCTAATATTTAAAAAATAATCATTTTGATTCCTATTTTTAATTAAAGCTTGGTCCCTAACACTTTATTTTTGGATAAAATGTTTCGTGGTTGGATGAAAACTATTAGTTGAGTAACGATCAAAGCATGTCGCTGATGGAACAAGTCATATGTGTCCAAAGTGATAGCACAAGATGCATCATATAAAAACTTATACACACATGACATGAGTAATATCATCATTTATATATATGTAGTATGTGTCACGTCATCACTTAAATACACACAAGAATGGAGCCATGATTAAATATTAGGAGGGGCAAGGTACACAAGTCCAAAATAGTAAGGACTTATTATTTATTTAATCTAAAAATTTGGAAGGGAACAAAAATCTATTTTTAGTTAAATTTAAATTAATAAGAACCTAAAATGCTATTAAACTAAAAATTTTGGGAGGGATTAGAGTCTCTCCCACTCTCTGTATAGCTTCGTCTTGTCACATATGATCACTTATGTACACGTAATGTTATGTCATCACTTTGGATACGTAAGACTTGTCACATCAACGATAAATTTTGACCAATAATTAATTAATAATCTCCATCCAACTAAGAATCATTTTACCCTAAAATAAAATATTGAAGATTAAAATATTAAAAAATAAAATGATAATTTTATCAGATGTTTTAGAGCGTTGCGCCTATAAATAAATAATACCTGGGAAAGAGTACTAGCGTCCGCGTATATGGGGGCATAGGAGGCAACACTAGCAGATTTAATGCACTTCCATTCGCACTTCACATTGCACAAAAATCCCGAACCACATGAATCATTGCAGTCCCTCATGCAAGCAACTGAGTCCTCCCCGAATACCGATGCCCCATCGCGCTCATCACCATTACTACCATCGTCATCATCTTCTTCATCCCTGCATTTGCCATTCCGTTCCTCGGTCGAGAACCCTTCCTCTTCGTCTCGCCTTCGATGTGGAAAGCATTGGTTTGTCTATTTCCCATTATGTTAATCTCTTAGAGAATTTTTCTAAATTTAGCGCCATTTTTAATGCTAACAAAACGGACTTTGTTAGGGAAAATGAGAACGAAATTTCTGGTAAATATTTTAAAAAGGAAAATTTTGTCAACTAAGATCCAACATTATTGTATTTACCTTTAAAACATCTGCATCGATATGTGAATACCATGTAGTGAAGATGTATACTATATTACTCGAAATTTGGATGTGAATGTAAAAGTACGACTGTGTACTTGAAACTAGTTTCTGCTTCTGACTAATAATTCCACGTCCCTTCATTGGGATCTTCTTTTTCTTTCATTTCCACGAAAGAGATGTTCTCGGTCCATTTTTTTATCTCAACTCTTCTCACCAAAACGGTGCTTTTTTTTTAATAAAACCAAATCTGGAAATAGCGTGTTAAATATATTTGGGTAAACTACGTATTTAACCACCCAATTATTTCTATGGTTCTGCTTGGTCACTAAACTATTCTCTTTCTTAAAATCATACCTAACTTATGTTTTGTTTCTATTTTGGTTACTCACTGTTAAAAAATAAATAAAAATGATGATTTGATAATTTTCAATGATTTCAAGTGTAACATTACCTTATGATACACATCAACATCATCATTTTTTTATTTAATTGTATATATTTAATTGACTTAAGGGCTACTTTTACCCTTAGTATACCCAATTTATCATTTTTGCTCTTTGATATTTTCGCATCAATTTAACCATTGAAGTTATTTAATCGTCAATATTTAAAATATTTATTATTTTTTAAGGTTTTAAGTTAGGGTTTATGGTTTAAGGTTTAATGCTTTTGGTTTAGGATGATACAATTAAACAACTTCAAGACTAAATTGATACGGAAATACCATAGAGCTAAATTCTAGTGCAAGGAGTTTTGCATATCAAACACAATTCTCTTTTCCCCACATACTTGGTGATGATTTTGAGAAAAAAAGTAGTTGGGTGATCAAAATGAAATCATTAAATAATCGAGTAATTAAATATGTAATATATGCTTGTGTTTTTAACATTAGTAACATTTTTCGATTACCGTCCCGAAAAAAACCTTAAAAAAACAAGTTGATACAGAGTACATTGTTTAAGAGGAGACAATACATTTAAATCCTAAATACATATTGTGATATTCCTTCACATGTAACACACGTGAGAAGGAAACGAATCAACCGAAGTATATCGAATATGGATAATAAGTATCTAAATTTAAATCTATCATCCGTAAATATAAAATAGACCCAAATCATAAACATCCGCATCCGATGCATAACATTGAATGTAAATATGATCTAAACCCACCAAACAAATCAAAGCATCTACAATACTCAAATTCACAGCATGAACCATTGCCATCCCAATTTGGAAATCACGAGTATAGATTATGTTTTGCAAACTCAAGTATTATAGCCAGCACGTTCAAATATGTATTATGAAGATACACTCAATCCCTTCAAATGTAATAGAAAAAAATGAAAAGTACCATTTCCCCATACAAATTAATGAAACCTGCAGAATCGTGCATGAGAATGAACGACAAAATTAATGAAATTGTTCAAATAATGTTTACCACGGGAAACCAAGCATCCATTTAAGCAGGCAAATAGCTTTGCAATAATGTTCAGATTCCAACCAGCTTAACCCAATACATCACTTGACAGCCATTTAAGTTCATGAAAGCTTCAGCTATCTGATTGTTCTATTCAGCTTGAATACCTACATTAATGTTTACTGCACAAACAGATTATCCATTCAAACAAAAATATGATAGTGATTAAAGCCCCCCTTTTTTCACTTTCCTATCCCCTTAAACGATGGTACAACAGCCTTAAACCTTCTAAGAGAATGGTGGAATTGATCGAATGGATACGAAACCGAGGACATCACCTGTATCTTCTCTCCTGGCTTCCTGAATTCCGAATAACAAATCTCCGAAAGAATATTGGAACATCTAAGCTTTAGTCCGCCTAAACTCGAACCAAATCTCATAGTGATTGAACAATAAACTGTCGTGTGTATGCTTCCCGAGATACTCGAGCCCTAAACTTGCAAGCCTTTTCGTGCATTTTTCCCCTCCCAATCGCGTACAAAACTTTATGTTATGCGAAACAAATATGCGCCCGTCATAAGGTTTCAACTTGTTCACTAAACTCTCGAGTCCAACCCACACGAGCTTATCCGGCATGTGAAGAAAAACAGCGCTAGCATATATCAAATCATACACAACATCCGATCCAAACTTCGTGAAATCCATATCCTCACCACGAACGATTAATGGTCGCTTATGTAAAAGCCCTTGCGAAGGAAGCTCATACCTATATGCAGCCATTAAGGAAAGCTCATCCCTTTCAAGACAATGGAAGTGCTCCGGTTTAAGATACCGGATAAAATGCAATCCCACACGAAGTGTTCCACAACCTATCTCGAGAACATGAGAATTAGGTGTTAGGTGACTAGATTCTGCAAGGAACTCGAAGACGTCCCGGCCTCCAGCCCATGGCTCCCCATAATTACTATGGTGCTCTTCAACAAGAAGCTCACCCGGACATGGAAGAGCAGTGTGGTTGTCTGCTTCAGATCCTTCATAGTGTGAAATACCCTTAAAGCTGAACATTCCACAAAATTTTATCACTAATTTGAAATATAAACACAAGTTCAATATAATTCTTTGATATTAGAGTACAATCAAGCTCTCTTTATTTATTTCTTCTAATTTCTTTTATTTTTATTTATGGTACAATCTAAACAAAGCAACATTGATCGAATTTAATATCAAATAAGTTAACCTTCACTACTGTTTAAGCTAATAACCTTCGTTAATCCATCTATCTTCTCCATTTCAACTTATTTCGAGGGAAAAATAAAACAGATAAAAAAACACAGGAATTGAAATCCAAAGCTTAAAAGGAAAAAAGAATTCGATCGAGAATTACTTGTTCAGATCTTCCAATTGTCGAGCACGTGTTCGAGGATTGATCCCTTTACGAAGCACATTATCGTGCATATGTAATCCATTAGCTCGGATCTGATCTTTCACCCACTCTATATCATCTCTGCTGGTAGAAATCCTCCGATCCGCATCTTCTTCCCTCATTGAACCACCGGATACGGCGGCGGTAAAGGCGGTGGGAGGGATGGAAGGAGGGAAAGTGCAAGGAGAAGGAGAAGAGAGGTAAGAAGAGATGAAGAACAAGAACACGGCGGCGGCGGAGACTGAGAGAAGTAGAACTGGAATCGTTATCAATATCCCTTTTTGTGATGATTGCGCCATTCGTCAATTCCCCTCCACATACGAACTCTCGACAGTTTCTGAGATTGGGAATTTTTTATTTATTTTTGTTTTAAGAGCTCTTTGAGAATGTCGGTTTCAGTGGAGAAGAGAAGACCGACGTCGTTTGTGCATTTTTTAATTCTTCAACTATAAAAGTTTATGAAATAACGCTCGATTTAAAAAATTAACAAATTAATCTGTTATTGTAAAATATTATGGTTAAATTCCACGTTTAGTAACTCAGTTATCATTATTGTTCCGTTTTGGTCATTCAATTATTTTTTAAAATCATACTAGTGTTCTGTTTTGATCTCATTTTAATCAACTACCGTTAAAACATTTACGGTAATGGTACGTCATAGTTAAATTTTTAAAAAATTATCATATCAGCAGTTCTGTTAATTTTCTAACGACAAATAACTAAAAGAAAATTAAAATATAACACTAAATATGTTTTATTGTTTGATCATTAATAAAATTAACATAACAATAAATTTGTCACCCAAAGTTAAAATTTTATCTTAATTTAATTTTTATTTTAAAAATAATTTTTTTAATTTTTTAATTTTTTATTGATTTAATCCCTACTTTCACCTCATCTTTTTCCTTCATTTTTTGTGACATTTTGGTTATTATTTATTAGTTCTATTTTCTTGTCGTTAATATTTTAGAATTAGAATCAAACTAATATAAGAAATAATTTGAAAATTAACTTTTTTATTGCATTATTTTTATTAACTACCATATCATTTATATTAAATTTTTAATAATAACGAATTCAGAGATATGCGTAAGATTTTATATTAAGGGATAAACTTATAAAATTTTAGGAGAACATAAATAAATTATCAATAAAAATATATATATAAATTATAAGAGAATTTAAAATTTTTAAGGGCAACAACGCCCTATCAACCCTCCTCAATCCATCCTGAACAAATCAATTTATTACTTTTTTTCAAAATAGATGGTGGTTTTATAATTTTTCATAGTTGAGTAATTTAAAAAAAGAGACCTATAATTATGGGACAATTGCTCGTTTTACCCTTATTATTATTTAATTTCTGATAGCGCGGGTTCTAAATATATAATTTATATTATTTTATTTAAAAAATATTGCTGTCGGTCCTCGGATCGTGGAAAGTTCGACTGGGGAACAGAAACTCCTCTCTCTACAAGAACTTAAAATTATAATCGAAGATCGACACAAAGAGACTGTCGGAGACAATGGCAGCAAAACCTAGATTAGGTTTTGAAAATCCAACGGATTTTCCTTTGCCGTTTCATCTCCAGCAACGGGATGCCGCCTAAGCCCCGTCCGTTCCTGCCACCAGTCGCTACTGTCTCCGGCGTCTAATCACTCCTACCAACAGGTTAGCGGAACAGTATACTGTAAATATTTCTATTTCTTTTCTATTATTTTTCAATTTGGGATTCATGGAATTTGCGACTTACATTGGGTTTCAATTGTTTCACCGATTTTTTTTTTTGCCAACATGGAAATTTACTGTGTTATGGTGTTAAGGGTATTAGGGTGACTGTTGGATCAAGTCAAACTAAGTCAAAAGATTTTGAGTTATAAAGTCTTATTCAATTGAAGTCAACTTAAAAATCAATTCACTAATTACTATTTTTTTTATTATTCGAGTTGTATTTTATAATTCTTTGAATTAATAGGGTGCTTAACGAGTTGATCAATTCGAACTCGACTCGAGATTATTTTGCGTACGACACGATTATTTTCTTGAGCCAGTTGAATAACATTTAGCAAATTTGAGGTGTATTCTGAGGTGCTTTGAAGTGAGCTCGGGATTAAGTTTAAACTTTAGAAAATCGTGTTTGACAGTAAATATTGGATTTTTCGAATGCAAGGTTATATCTTTCCCTTTTCAGGTCTAGTCCAACTACAAAGAAAAATCATAGGTCGGGTATTTAGCCAAGTCAGGTAACTTTTTTTTATAGAATTATTTTATTTCCTGGGTTCGAATTAACGGGTCAATATATCAAATCAATCGAGTAGAGTATGTTTGAACACCTCTAATTACAATAGGTTAATGTACTTGGGTCATATTTTATTTTTGCAAATGGAGTTTCGTACTAGTTACTTTGTCGTACTATAATATCATAAATTTATAATCTCATAATTTCATCAATTATAACTTACAAGTCAGGTAAATATTATATCAATTCAATTACAAGTCATATTATTTACATGTTAAGTCAATTACATGCCAAATTCATAACATATCAAGTTGATAACAGGTTGGGTAATATCAATTATTTACCAAATTAATCTCGATATGATTTCATATTAGGTCGGATGTAGGTAGAATTCGATTATCATATTATCGGTTCAATTCAGTTTCATATAGTTCTTAGGTAGGGTGTAGGTTGGGCTCAAATCCGAAATTTCTAGGTCCAACTCCATTTTAGGTCCATACCAATTTAGACTTGAACAGATTGTAGATCACCACCACCTCGAATCACAAACAGCTCCGACTTAAGTCTATTTTAGTCAATTTTATCGGTCGGGTACATCCCTTAAAGATAGTGATCACTAGGAAAAACCATCGGGCAGAGTAGCAATCGGAAGACGACGCCCTACTTGCAACGCTTCATGAGCAACCCGCCATGCAAAGATGCGAATTTTAGGCAAAACTTTGAGCGTGGAAATAATCTGACATGCCTGCGACGGTTGCCCAATATCATGATATCGCATGACGGTATGAACCATTGATACCCAGACCTTGCAGAGTACACTCCCGAATAATGGTTGCCCCATACGAGAATATCCTCCCTACAAGGCGAGATCGAGACGCGCCGAGTCTCCTTAGCTTCGACATTCACAAAGAGCCTCCTAATTTTCTCCTCGTTCCAAACAGCCCGGTCCTGCAACATGAACTCTTTGCAAAGAATGGGGTTTTTCAGTATTATCAGTGTAAAGCACCAAGGAAGAAACCACGCGGACCCACCCCATCAATCCCCGTGCATTCGTGTATTACTCTCAATACCAACACGGTAGAAAAAACTCGAGCATAGGGAAATGAGCAAGAATTTTTTTTTCCTCATCTTCTTTTAACTTCAAATGCCATTGATTACTTAAATTGATGGGTTATATGTTTATTGCATAAATAAGTTGGTAGGATTCTCGACCTTAAGTCCCATTTCATCTCTTTTCCGTCTCCGTAAATAAGTCGGATTCTTATATAAGTCGCTACATATAACTAAATGGAGGAGGTTCTCTCTCATATTATTCCGATCTTCGAAATCAAGCGACATTTATTGATCGTCTGTAATTTCACTATGAAATCACCTCACCCTCATTCATCTCTTTTTTTGGTTTTCAAATAGAGACAAAATAATTTTTGACACCAGTCAACAGTCATCTGATCATCGAATATAACTCTTTTTGAAATCAGAAGAGATGAACCGTCTATAACTGTGGTGACACATATTTCGCATCAACAAAAAATTATCGATACATTTTATGCTATATTACAATTCATTATTCACTCTACTTTCACCGAATTGATTATTTTTCATTTAAGTACAGGGAATCAAATGTAACCTAAATTCAAATTCAACATACGATATAAAAATTAATTGCTTAGTTAAATAAATCTTAATGGTTCCAGTTTACCATAAATTGCAAGGCGTTAAAAGATTGAGAGCAGCCCGTTTCAGTGGAGAAAATCATTTATAAGGTTGTATGGTGTTTTGGTGAGCATGAGGAGGAGCAAACATGAATCCATGTGCGATCAGGTTGGCGTGGTTGCTGTTTGCAACGCTGGTTTTGGCTGCGAGCATAGAGGCTGTGCTTGTGAAAGTAATACTCTATAACGATTTGGAAGATAAGAAGGAACTGACCATCCATTGCAAATCCAAGGACGACGACCTCGGCGTTCATGTTCTTTCTTACAGGGAATCCTATGGTTTCCGATTTCAACCAAACTACTTCGCTCGGACCTTATTTTTCTGTCGCGTGACATCGAATGGAAAATCGCATTGGTTCGACGTTTTCGATGGAGAGAGGGAATGGACTTGGGGTGAGGGTTGCCTAGAAACAGATGATAAATGCGTGTGGAATGTAAGACAAAACGGTCCTTGTACGGGGACTTTTAATCATTGTTACGGTTGGAACAAGTAGGGGTTCCTAAATCACTCTCAAAATCTATAATAATCACTTGTATTAACTGAAATCTCAACTGCTGGTTTGCATGTCAACTGTGTTTTACCTTTAATTAATTCACGACCACATAAACGCACAAACCGGTAGAAAAGAAAATTTTTATGTTAGGACAAGTTTTCAAAATTTTAAGAAGGGACGATTGCTCAAGCCATCTCTTCGATCCATCCATACATCCTCCCTTTATAAGAATCATTCATCGTTTTTCTTGATGAATTCGTCATCAGTAGCAACCTTCACTGTAGTTTATCTACTGATCTATGTGGGGGGAAAGAATTCAACTTTTAAAGACAGTAAGGTACACATGTAGTCTACACTTCCTCAATCCCACCACAATTCTCCACCGGTCCTGCATCTTTAACATACAAGTTAGCAAATAAAACATACGATAAATTTTTAGTACTTTAACTATCACTTTTATTCTATTTTTATTATCTAATATATTTTTTAAAATCATAATTAACGTTTAGTTTTGGTTTTATTTTTGTCGTTCATCGTTAAAAATTTAATGGTGACGTTGACAAGTCACCATAAGATAATACCACATTATCATTAAAAAATAAAAAATATCAAGTCAGTGGTTCTATTATTTTTTTAACTGTAGGTGACTAAAACGAAACATAAATTAAATGTTAGGTATGATTTTAAAAAAATAATTGTGTGACAAAAACTGAACAAAATTAATAGTTAGGGTACTGACCATGTAGTTTACCCTGAAACATATAGTCACAAAATATAAAAAAAATCAAAGAAAACAATAGCTTCCTTTGAAATTGCTTGTAAATTTAAACGGAATTCAAAACTCAACTCTAATTTCATAAACTAAATTAGATTTTGAAAAAAAATTAAATAAAATTTAAATTATAAAATAAAACTCCTCAAATTTTAAAATTAATATTTTTAAACTTGATTCAACTCGATCGAATACTCAACCCTATCTAACATTTTTGCGTTACTGAAAAAGTGGAAAATAAAAATTGGATGCAGCAAGTGAGTCTGCTGCATCAAATTTTGATTGTCTTTTTCTTTAATTATGTTCTTTGGTATTATTTGAGTAATCTACAAAAAAATAATTTATATGGTTTTAAACCTTAATTTTTTTTCTCTTTTCTGTCATCGTTAGTTTTTTTTATCTTTGTGATTGGTGACGACATTAATTTTAGTGTTGATCACGACTGTTTCTATTCATTGTTTTTTTTGTTGTATATATTTTTTTTAATTTTAAAAATGTTGTCTGGTATGTTTTCCTCTTCATTTATGATACGTTTCTTCTATCTTTTAGCATGTTTTCGATCGTTTGGTTGCTATTTTCATTTATTTTTTTCTCAAGGCTTGATTTAATATTGTCACGATTTGATCAAGATTGTGTTTATTTGTAATCATGATGATCTTGTAACATCTTAAATCAGGGTCAGTGACTAAATTACAAATTTAAAAACTATGTGCTCGATTTCGAAATAAGTTAAAAGTTCATGGATTTAATTGAGGAAAGTTGATGTTGGATTTAATGGTAAAGTTTGGAAATAACAAGGGTATTATGGTCTTTTCTAAGAGAAGGTTTTTTAATCTCTTTTTAAGGGATATAAAAACGTGGGAAAGGAGATAATTTCTCCATAGTATTCTTCAGTCTTCTTCTTCATCCTCTCCACCGTGAAGCCTTGTATAAGGTAAGTGGGTCTTCAGTTGGTTAATTCTTTCGTTTTAAAGCTTGTTTTGATTCTTGAGATGCTAAGAAAGATTAAGGAAAGCTTTAGGTGGCTTAAAACTCAAAGATTAGCAAGTTATGAGAAATTAAGAAAAATGAGCTTTTAAGTGAATTTTTGAAATAGAATGAGTTAATAGATTTTGAAGTTTAATTTGACTTGTCAAGGGTTAAATTAAGAGATATGAAGTGATAGACTGGGTTTTAGAACATGTTGGAAATTTAGTGTGATTCTTGAATGTAATGTAAATGATAGAATTTTGAGTTTAAAGAAGTGATTATGGAGTAGAAATGAGTTTAAATATGTGTATGAAAGTTAGGAATATTAAAGGGAGTGAAGTATGAAGTGTTGAGCTGAAAATGAAGTGATTTTCGAGCTGAAAATGAAGTGATTTTCGAGCTGAAAAATATGATTTCTGGGCAAGGGGAACCGATACCCCTTCAAACGAACAAAAATTTCCAGAATGTCATGAGGGAATCGAACCCCCATAGTAGGGAACATATTCCCCCTAAAGGAAAATTGTGAATATTGGTTTAATAAGTTGTTTAAGTTGTTAGTATCAAATTACAAGGTATATGTATCTAATAATTGTCTTAAAATATATAATTATGTAGATTCAGAGCCTAATAAAGTTCCAGAATCATTGACAAGTAAGATCGATCAAGGGGAAAGATAAGAGATTGGAATTAACTAGTGAGGCCAGGTGAGTGCATACAAGTTAGTTTATGATGTTTAACGGAAATAAGACTTGCGACAAGTCTATTTCCTATATTAGAATGCCTGAATGTATGATCATATGCATATGTTTGATTTGGGTATATGTGATATATATATATAATAGTATGTATTAAATGATTTGTGTGAATGCATGCAGTGTGATAAGTTATAGGAATTAATATGAATGATCTATATGATTACATGAGAATGTGAAATAGGTTATATGATAGGTGACCATACATGTTACATAGTAAATGTGATCAATTATAAGAATCAATATAATAGATTTATATGACTACAGGAGAAAGGTGATGAGTTAAATAAGATTAGACTATAGAGTAATATGAGAATAATATATTAGTGAAGGGAATTGAGTATAAATGATAATGCCAAACTATAAGATAAGTGTTATAGAGAAAAGTATATTTAAAGAGAATTATGGTATAGGATTTAAGTGAAATTTAACTAAATAAATAGATTAAACTGGTATAAATGGAAAATGAGATAAGTTAAGTAGCATTTACCTAGGAGATAACATAAGATTATATGAATAAGTAGCATAAATGACATAAGGAAAACTTATGTGTTATATGATTTCAGCATTGAAATGAACAAAAGATATATTCAGGTGAAGTTATTCGGTGATATGAGTATATGTCATTATTATACGGTTTAGATGAAATACTAAACATGAATAAATGTGATTGTGTGAGAAATGATAGAAACTATATGAGAACATGTATATGTGAAAGTAAACTATGTGGTTATATGTTATATGAATACAAGAACCTGAGATATGTAACATGTGAATTATATGGAAATGATCTACGTCTAAGTGAACTATGTGACTATGTGATTATATGAAAATGTGATATTGAGTTATGTTCAAAAACTATGAGACTACGTGCCCAGGTAATATGAATATGTGAACATGTGAAATGACCTAAATGATAATGCCCATGTTATGTGTCATGAGAGCTAGGGGTATAGTTGGCATGCCAAGAGTCGAGGGTCTACGCGGTTCTTCGGGACATATATATATTCTTTGAAACATGTGTGAAGTCTTGTGAGACACATACTTGATCCCTAGTATATGTATATGATTCTTAAGGAATGATATGTGGTCCTTATGGACATTATTATATGGCACTTCGGTGCATTTCTACGCGGCACTACGGTGCAATTCTACGTGACACTTCGGTGCATTTATACGAGCTGTGGTGACAGCATTAGTGCACAACCTCTATAGACTCACATATCTATAGTTCTCACATGTGTTCATGGGCTAATAAAAATAATAAGATAAATAAACTTGGTATGATTATATGTTTATTTCGTTGTGAACTGATATATGTGCTATGATGTGATAATTAAGGATATTATGGATAAGAGTATAAAATTATAAGGACTAATGTACAAATTGATAATATAGAAATGATTGTACATAAATATGTATGTTTTGATATAATGATATATGTGTTTCTTGTGACATGGTACAAGTGCATATATATGTTGATGTATATATAAATGAGCTATATGATTTGATAGCATAAAACAGTCATGCATGATTAGTGGGTATGAATTTCATTATATGTGTTTTTTATGCCTCACTAAGTCATCGACTTAGCGTGTGATTGTTTCAAACGTAGGTTACAGAAGCGAGAAGAGAAGAGAAGAAGAGTAAGACAGGTCAGCACCTCCCTTACAAAATTTCAGATCAGAAAATAGAGGATTTAAATGTTTTTGGTTATTTTGAGTATAGTTGGCATGTACTAATTGGTTGAATTAGTTATGATCTGATTGATTTTGGGTATTGTGGTCAATTTATGTAACTAAACCGCTTTTACTTTAATGAAAGATTTAAATTTTCTTTGAATTTTGTCAAGAGTCAAAGTTTGAAAAGTCAATGTGACATCTCAGACTCGTATCCAGGTCGGGTACGGGTTGGGGGTGTTACAGATCTTCTCTGCTTTAGACTCTTGGATTGAATTTGGATACGCGACTTACATTTGTGAATAGTTTTCTCACGTCGCTCGATTTTGATTTATGATTTGTCGGTGGTCTTTAAATAACTTAATCTCCTATTTGTGGTGTTTGTTTATCTATCCTTTATTCGAGATTGTTTGGCTATGTTTTTAACATTTTTCTCATATGATCCTTGTGTGATCTTAAGTTGTTGAGATTTAAGGCTCTATGAGATCAACCGAAAAAGTGGCCAAGAGGGGTGAATTGGCTTAATTAAAAATTTTGGGAATTAAGGAGAAAGGATAAAAAAATTGCACAATGATTTATAGTGGTTCAACTTCCTCAATGAAGTTTATATCCACTACCTTAGCACCTCAGTAAGGATTTCTAACAAATTCACTAATTTGTTCTTTCTTTTTCTAGGCTCAAGAGTAACTTTTACAAATTCACTATCTTTTCAATAGCTAAGATAGAACCAAAACCCCTTTTACAAAAATAAAGAAATGTAAACAAGAAAACCTCAAAAAGGTAGGTGTTTACGAATTAAGCTCATAAAATACTCTATATACAAGAAAA